ACTCTCCCACTAACCCCCCCCTCCACTCTCCCCACTAACCCCCCCCCCCTCCACTCTCCCCACTAACCCCCCCCTCCACTCTCCCCACTAACCCCCCCCTCCACTCTCCCCACTAACCCCCCCCCCTCCACTCTCCCCACTAACCCCCCCCTCCACTCTCCCCACTAACCCCCCCCTCCACTCTCCCCACTAACCCCCCCCTCCACTCTCCCCACTAACCCCCCCCCTCCCTCTCCCCACTAACCCCCCCCTCCACTCTCCCCACTAACCCCCCCCTCCACTCTCCCCACTAACCCCCCCCCTCCACTCTCCCCACTAACCCCCCCCTCCACTCTCCCCACTAACCCCCCCCTCCACTCTCCCCACTAACCCCCCCCTCCACTCTCCCCACTACCCCCCCCCCTTCCACTCTCCCACACTAACCCCCCCCTTCCACTCTCCCCCTAACCCCCCCCTTCCACTCTCCCCACTAACCCCCCCCTTCCACTCTCCCCACTAACCCCCCCTCCACTCTCCCCACTACCCCCCCCTCCACTCTCCCCACTAACCCCCCCCTCCACTCTCCCCACTAACCCCCCCCCTCCACTCTCCCCACTAACCCCCCCCCCCCTCCACTCTCCCCACTACCCCCCCCCTCCACTCTCCCCACTAACCCCCCCCCTCCACTCTCCCCACTAACCCCCCCCTCCACTCTCCCCACTAACCCCCCCCCTCCACTCTCCCCACTAACCCCCCCCCTCCACTCTCCCCACTAACCCCCCCCCCTCCACTCTCCCCACTAACCCCCCCTCCACTCTCCCCACTAACCCCCCCCCCCTCCACTCTCCCACTAACCCCCCCTTCCACTCTCCCCACTACCCCCCCTCCACTCTCCCCCACTAACCCCCCCCCCTCCACTCTCCCACTAACCCCCCCCTCCACTCTCCCCACTAACCCCCCCCTCCACTCTCCCCACTAACCCCCCCCCTCCACTCTCCCCACTAACCCCCCCCCTCCACTCTCCCCACTAACCCCCCCCTTCCACTCTCCCCACTAACCCCCCCCTCCACTCTCCCCACTAACCCCCCCCTCCACTCTCCCCACTAACCCCCCCTCCCTCTCCCCACTAACCCCCCCTCCACTCTCCCCACTAACCCCCCCCCCCCCTCTCCCCACTAACCCCCCCCCTCCACTCTCCCCACTAACCCCCCCCTCCACTCTCCCCACTAACCCCCCCCCTCCACTCTCCCCACTAACCCCCACCCCCCTCCACTCTCCCCACTAACCCCCCACCTCCACTCTCCCCACTAACCCCCCCTCCACTCTCCCCACTAACCCCCCCCCTCCACTCTCCCCACTAACCCCCCCTCCACTCTCCCCACTAACCCCCCCTCCCTCTCCCCACTAACCCCCCCCCCCTCCCTCTCCCACTAACCCCCCCCCTCCACTCTCCCACTAACCCCCCCCTCCACTCTCCCCACTAACCCCCCCCCACTCTCCCACTAACCCCCCCCTCCACTCTCCCCACTAACCCCCCCCCTCCACTCTCCCCACTAACCCCCCCCTCCACTCTCCCCACTAACCCCCCCCCTCCACTCTCCCCACTAACCCCCCCCCTCCACTCTCCCCACTAACCCCCCCCTCCACTCTCCCCACTAACCCCCCCCTCCACTCTCCCCACTAACCCCCCCCCCCACTCTCCCCACTAACCCCCCCCCTCCACTCTCCCCACTAACCCCCCCCCTCCACTCTCCCCACTAACCCCCCCCCTCCACTCTCCCCACTAACCCCCCCCCTCCACTCTCCCCACTAACCCCCCCCCCTCCACTCTCCCCTAACCCACCCCCCCCTCCACTCTCCCCACTAACCCCCCCCCTCCACTCTCCCCACTAACCCCCCCCCTCCACTCTCCCCACTAACCCCCCCCCCTCCACTCTCCCCACTAACCCCCCCCCTCCACTCTCCCCACTAACCCCCCCCCTCCACTCTCCCCACTAACCCCCCCCCCTCCACTCTCCCCACTAACCCCCCCCCCCACTCCCTCTCCCCACTAACCCCCCCCCCTCCACTCTCCCCACTAACCCCCCCCCCACTCTCCCCACTAACCCCCCCTCCACTCTCCCCACTAACCCCCCCCCCTCCACTCTCCCCCACTAACCCCCCCCTCCACTCTCCCCCTAACCCCCCCCTCCACTCTCCCCACTAACCCCCCCCTCCACTCTCCCCCTAACCCCCCCCCTCCACTCTCCCCACTAACCCCCCCCTCCACTCTCCCCACTACCCCCCCCTCCACTCTCCCCACTACCCCCCTCCACTCTCCCCACTAACCCCCCTCCACTCTCCCCACTAACCCCCCCCTCCACTCTCCCCACTAACCCCCCCCTCCACTCTCCCCACTAACCCCCCCCTCCACTCTCCCCACTAACCCCCCCCTCCACTCTCCCCACTAACGCCCCCCTCCACTCTCCCCACTAACGCCCCCCTCCACTCTCCCCACTAACGCCCCCCCCTCCACTCTCCCCACTAACGCCCCCCCTCCACTCTCCCCACTAACGCCCCCCTCCCTCTCCCCACTAACGCCCCCCCTCCACTCTCCCCACTAACGCCCCCCCCTCCACTCTCCCCACTAACGCCCCCCCTCCACTCTCCCCACTACGCCCCCCCTCCACTCTCCCCACTAACGCCCCCCCTCCACTCTCCCCACTAACGCCCCCCCCACTCCCACTAACGCCCCCTCCACTCTCCCCACTAACGCCCCCCCTCCACTCTCCCCACTAACGCCCCCCTCGCACTCTCCCCACTAACGCCCCCCTCCACTCTCCCCACTAACGCCCCCCTCCACTCTCCCACTAACGCCCCCCCCTCCACTCTCCCCACTAACGCCCCCCTCCACTCTCCCCACTAACCCCCCCCCCTCCACTCTCCCCACTAACCCCCCCCCTCCACTCTCCCCACTAACCCCCCCCCTCCACTCTCCCCACTAACCCCCCCCCTCCACTCTCCCCACTAACCCCCCCCTCCACTCTCCCCACTAACCCCCCCCCTCCACTCTCCCCACTAACCCCCCCCTCCACTCTCCCCACTAACCCCCTCCACTCTCCCCACTAACCCCCCCCCTCCACTCTCCCCACTAACCCCCCCCTCCACTCTCCCCACTAACCCCCCCCCTCCACTCTCCCCACTAACCCCCCCCCTCCACTCTCCCCACTAACCCCCCCTCCACTCTCCCCACTAACCCTCCACTCTCCCCACTAACCCCCCCCTCCACTCTCCCCACTAACCCCCCCCTCCACTCTCCCCACTAACCCCCCCCTCCACTCTCCCCACTAACCCCCCCCTCCACTCTCCCCACTAACCCCCCCCTCCACTCTCCCCACTAACCCCCCCCTCCACTCTCCCCACTAACCCCCCCCTTCCACTCTCCCCACTAACCCCCCCCTTCCACTCTCCCCACTAACCCCCCCCCTTCCACTCTCCCCACTAACCCCCCCCTTCCACTCTCCCCACTAACCCCCCCTTCCACTCTCCCCACTAACGCCCCCCCTCCACTCTCCCCACTAACCCCCCCCTCCACTCTCCCCACTAACCCCCCCCCTCCACTCTCCCCACTAACCCCCCCCTCCACTCTCCCCACTAACCCCCCCCCTCCACTCTCCCACTAACCCCCCCCCTCCACTCTCCCCACTAACCCCCCCCCTCCACTCTCCCCACTAACCCCCCCCTCCACTCTCCCCACTAACCCCCCCCCCCTCCACTCTCCACTACACCCCCCCTCCACTCTCCCCACTAACCCCCCCCCTCCACTCTCCCCACTAACCCCCCCCCCTCCACTCTCCCCACTAACCCCCCCCCTCCACTCTCCCACTAACCCCCCCCCTCCACTCTCCCCACTAACCCCCCCCCTCCACTCTCCCCACTAACCCCCCCCCTCCCACTCTCCCCACTAACCCCCCCCCTCCACTCTCCCCACTAACCCCCCCCTCCACTCTCCCCACTAACCCCCCCCCTCCACTCTCCCCACTAACCCCCCCCTCCACTCTCCCCACTAACCCCCCCCTCCACTCTCCCCACTAACCCCCCCCCTCCACTCTCCCCACTAACCCCCCCCTCCACTCTCCCACTAACCCCCCCCCTCCACTCTCCCCACTAACCCCCCCCCTCCACTCTCCCCACTAAACCCCCCCCTCCACTCTCCCACTAACCCCCCCCCTCCACTCTCCCCACTAACCCCCCCCTCCACTCTCCCACTAACCCCCCCCCTCCACTCTCCCCACTAACCCCCACCCCTCCACTCTCCCCACTAACCCCCCCCCTCCACTCATCCCCACTAACCCCCCCCCTCCACTCTCCCCACTAACCCCCCCCCCTCCACTCTCCCCACTAACCCCCCCCCTCCACTCTCCCCACTAACCCCCCCCTCCACTCTCCCCACTAACCCCACCCCCCTCCACTCTCCCCACTAACCCCCCCCTCCACTCTCCCCACTAACCCCCCCCAACCCCCCCCCCCTCCACTCTCCCACTAACCCCCCCCCCTCCACTCTCCCCACTAACCCCCCCCTCCACTCTCCCCACTAACCCCCCCCCTCCACTCTCCCCACTACCCCCCCCTCCATCTCCCCACTAACCCCACCCCCTCCACTCTCCCCACTAACGCCCCCCCCCCCCTCTCCACTCTCCCCACTAACCCCCCCCTCCACTCTCCCCACTAACCCCCCCCTCCACTCTCCCCCTAACCCCCCCCTCCACTCTCCCCACTAACCCCCCCCCATCCACTCTCCCC